AATGGAGGCGACCTTCTCGACACCACGAATCATGGAGTCGATGTTCTCGACACCACAAACCATGAGTCCCGAGACGCACATTCGCTTGGCAGAACGGTTTCATCCTTGCGGGAGATCCGTGCGGTATTTTGACGGTGTGACTACGATCCACGGAGCGACCGAAGAGGACTTCGACGAGGACCCCTGGATGACCACSGTCCTGCGCATGGGACTGCATATAGACGGTTGGTGCGATGGGAATTGGGCCACGATGGAGAATCGTTGTCCATGGGCAAGCGAGTACAAGTTCGCCAACATGTTGGAGTTCGGGAACCTCATCCCGGTGTCTGACGCTGTCCTCGGACACAAGTTCTTGAACCATATGCGTAGAGCACTTGGCTGCATTAGCCGCCATTTCAGCCACCTCGAGTGCCATTACGTCAGGTTGTCGCCACGAACTTGGGGAGGCTCGTGGAAACAAGAGTTGGTGGACTGCGCTCGTCACTGCTCGTTCCTGGTGCAGTACCCGCTCCGGTGCCCCGAGAATTCTCCACAAGCTGTGTCATACTGTTGTGTGCGATTGACTGTGTCGGGGACTAATTTCGCCAGAGTTCTATGTATCGCTGCTTCGAGCAAGAGCAGGAAACTCGTAGATGCAGTTGTGCTTGTGTCACGGAACGAGGTGGTGATTGAGGGGTCCAAATTCGTGCAGACGCACAGGCCTGAACGTGTAGATGGGTGGCGCGATTTGGTGATAGTAGGCCGGGTCCAAAACTTTTCGTTGCATCGTGAGGTCGAGGAGAAAGTGTCCGATACACGGGACTGTATAGGGAATTCCTTAGCACAACCGGGAGTGTTTGTTAGGATGAAATACATGTCTGTCTTTTCAAAGAGGGCATCGGTAGACGAACCGCAGGTCCACGTGTACGGATCATCAATGAATGCTTTGTATGGCTTCGGTTCACGACGTCGTGCCAGGGGAACCCCGAATGTTGGCACATCTGAACTGGTAGTTAGTCCTGGTGTTTAGGGGAAAAGAGGGGAGAGGTATGAGATGTTGTTCTGCTGCCTGCAATATTAGATGTGTAGCACTGGAGGGAGGTGTGAGAGGCAACAATTGCTAGTAGACGCTACACCGCGCACTTGTCGTGCAAATCCGTGATCGTCGATCAGTTTAACAACCGACGAAAATCATGTTGGAGGTCTATCTCTGACGATGTCTCCTTCCATGTCGCGCCCCGACGAAGTTTGGATCCCGGCGAACTTCGCGTTCCGCTCTGTGCGTTGGTTTGTCTTTCGTACTGCTGGAGTCGGGCGGACCACAAGAACCGTCGGGCACCACGAGCACGGTCTTGCTTGAGGTTGCGGCCTTCGAAAAGGTTATGCGACCAATTACGCCCGCCGGCGTTCGAGATCTGAGACCACCGCTGACCGAACTTCAGAAACACTATCCGTCGCCCGACCACCATCAAAATATGCCAAAAGCACTCTTAGGGATCCCAGGTTCGAATGAGCGCAGGGTCGTGCGAGCTTCGCGTTTACTGAAACCCGTTAGCGATCCCGGTTTACGGGCCCTCTTGTTGCATCTGGATCTGTTTTGAGCATAGACGGACTCAATGACTACTGCCATCAAAACCTGCGGTCAGCTGTGAGACCCAGGGTTTTCCCACCATAACCTTGCTCGGACCCCAACTTCCGTCCAACCTCATACGTGATCCAGTGTTTATGTTTGTGTGTCTTTCGCGCGGCGTCCTGAAGCTCGGATCCCGACGAACTTCCTGCGACGCTTGTCTATTGGACAAATACTTGTCTTCCGGATCCCCCATGGATTGAGACAACAGCTCTTGTCCGCCTTGCTCCACACGTATCGTTCTGCCCCACCAGGGACCCATAC